GCAGGCATCAGAGAGCATGGTGGATGGGTGTCTGACACTGGGATGCAGGGGACAGGTTGGTCAACCATGGGCAGTTGATGAGGCTGGAGAGGTGGGCAGGGGCCAGGCTGAACAGGACCTCGGATGCCAGTCTAAGAGGTTGGGCTTTTGCGAATTACAGGAAGCCCAGGAATTTAAGGGTTTTAAGTAGGGCAGCCATGTGGCTGCCATGTGTGTGGCCTGGGGAAGGGGCACGACCAAGGAGCACAGACAGAGCCTCTCTTCTAAAGTTTTAGGGCGGCTACATACCCCAACCCCTGCTTCTCACTAGTAGGAACCCAGGTTCTGCCTCTCAGACCAGGGGAGGGGGGTTTATCTCACATGTCCTTGCCACCATGGACCTTAACAGCACCCCACGCCAGCTGGCATGAAGGAGGGAGTCCGCAGGTGGCAGAGCAGGTGCAAAACTGCTATCGCCCAAACTTCCAGGTGGTTCCCGTGTGCTTGAGTGACCCCCAGGCTGCTAACGCTGGAGGCCCTTCGAGGTCATCTAACCCAGCCCTTCCATTCTATGGATGGGAACACTGAGGCCCAGGGACGGGGGCAACCTGTCCAAGTTCTCATGGCGCAGTCAGGACTAGAATCCAGGCCTGTGGGCTCCCTGTCTGGTTTTCTCTCCCCAGATAGATCTGTGCTCATAGCCGAGTCCTGCAGTTCCCTTAGCTCGGCAACCTGAAGCAAGTGACTTGGCAGTTTTGTCATCTGGAACGTGGCATAACAATATCCCCCTTTTGGGGTTGTTGTGGGGAATAAATGAAATAATGCAGGTCAAGCGTCTCTGCAGCTTAACGCCTGGCGGGGAGTGTGCGCTCAGGTAGGAGGAACTGTTCTCTCCCTCCGTGTTCTGTTTCTGCTCTCAGCGTGTTATCCCACTGCCTGTCTCTGGTGGTGGGGGTCCTGGGATGGTGCAGGGGCTCCTGCAACAGCTGAGCCAGGGGGGCACTTCTCAGATTGTCCAAGGAAGGCAGGGGCATACCTTGGCTTATTTGGGTTTAGGGCAAATACAGATGGAAAAAAGCATTCTTTGGTCTGGGTTACAGCCCAATGGTGTGTTCTTTTGGATGACAAAGTAAAGTGAAAAATATTGAGAGAAGTGCGTGTGTAATTTTGCACGGGTGGGATGACTTTACCAGGCAAAAGGACTTTCCCATTTACAAAGGGATTCATGGCAGGAGTCCTGTAAGTTCCCAGTTCCGCTCAGGGCTTTCACTCAGGAGTCAATTTCCCTAGCATGATTCACACCAAGTTTCTAGGAAAGGGCCTTCTGGCCCCCCAAATAGTCTTGTCATCTCTGGCCTTCTTTCAAGATTCCCTTGAGCTTTGAGCTGAAGCAGCAGAATCTTGGAATGGGAACAGTGTAGCCGCTATAGGTTGTAAGACCACGGTGACTTTATGTGCCATTGAGAAAGAAAAAACATCGCCAGTCGTAACGGATGCGCAACAAGCCCCAATTTCAGAAATGTGAAAAAAATTTGCATCTTAGAATCAATGTTTGAGAACCAGGGTCAGCTGGATAGGTTAGTACTAATAGCAGAGTTGAGAATATACCAATGGGGGCCAATCCCCAAATCATACATGACTTAAGATTATTTAACGGTTATTTTTCCTATGTGAAAGAAACCACTAATACGTAGGTTCCCTGAGGACAGACACTGGGTCTGTTTTGCTCACCACCGTATCCCTATCGCTTCACCCATAGTAGGTGTTCAACAAATATTTGCTCAACAAGTAAATAAAACAAAGCCGCCTTATAAGACACGTGGCGAAACCAGACAAGAAAACATCATTCAGAATTCCCCCACTGCGGGTACTTTGCCTTATTTCCTTCCAGTCTTATTTCCTATGAATATGCTCTTTTATATACGTGTAAACACAATGTATTATTAGGTTTAGCTCCAGGATGTGTCTTTGTATTTCTCTATTAATATGAATGAAGGGATGAAATGAGATGGTGTGGAAATGCTTTGAAGACTGTAAAATGTTTAACCAAATATCTTATTATTACTTATAATAACCATAGCAATGCTAATACGAATGAGGCTGATTTTCTGAAAATATACTTCAAAGCCAACAATGAATTTGTCCTCTGAAGCTGGGTATATGTTCTGTCCCTGACCGCCACGGGGAGTCCCTCTGTTTCATGTTGGGAAGAGAAAGAGACTTAAGGGTTCTGAGAAGTTATCAGCTCCAGATTCCCACCAGGCCCAGAAATTTCTTTGGTGTCAGTAAGGGGGGTCAGTGTGGAGTGGGGAGGACAGAGCACATCTCTCAGGCCAATGACACAGGAGCCTACAGAGAGCTTCCTTCTTTCCAACCTTTGCTAGCGGTGAGATGGAGTTACCCTGTGGGTTTCAAGGAAGGCTGTTCACTTCCTCTGCATGGTAATAGCAATGTGGACACCAGAGAGGTGTCAGTACAGGTAAGTCATGCAGGATCAGAGTGGTGGTTACTTTCAACAAAACACAAAATCAGATTCGCATCGGAAAACTAGCCCCAAATTCACCATTAGATAGTCAAAGAATTCATGGACACACTTATTAGTCTAACCCATGTCTGGTTCTTCGAAGGGAGGTAGATTGACTCACATCACACACAGAAGGCAGGACTAGCCAGGCTCCTCTGTGCCCTGTTCTCCACGAGGCCTCAACCTTGGCCTACAAAGACTTGGAAGAACACTAACATAGTTTCCTTCTTTCTTTCCTTTTCTTCCTTCCTTCCTTCCTTCTTTCTTTCTTGTCATTAGCCCTTCATTTTCATTGAAATGGATAGTTTAGATGAAGAACAGAACTAGAATAGTATTAACAATCGACTTCTGAAAAATCACATTTGTATAAAGGAAATAAAAAAGGCCAGCAGAATTCCAGAAAAGGTGCAGCCCGTATTACTGCACTTGGATGAAGTATGCTGTTCAGGGTAGCATACTACTACTTAGGCCACACAAGCCCAGGAGCAGGAGACAAACAGCGGGCAGAACTCCAGGTAGTATTTATTCTGGATTCTCCAGTGAGCTCAAGAATAGTTAGTATTTTTGAAACATTCAGCTAAAGCTCTTTACGAAAATGACCGTGTCTTCAACACGTTTTTACGCTAACGCAGTTTCTCACAGCTCAAAGGCAAATCCCTGGGATGACCCTAGCCCCCTTAAAGTCCCTGCCTAAGAACTCAAGACTGCCGAAAGAACTTACTGTTTGTTTGTTCCTGCCGAGACCAAAAGGTAGGGCCCCTGTCTCCCTGTCTCTGCAGGAGGAGAGAAGCCTAACTGTGATGGGGTCCTATTAGCAAACTTGGATGGGTTCCACAGGCACTGACCCCCACCCCCTGACTTCCAGCTTTTTGTAATGCTTCATCTCCCTGACTCTGCTCAGGCACCCTCTATCCCCCCAACCCTCCCCCTCATTTTCCCTTTAAAACGCCAAGTGCCTTCTGCACAAATCGAAGTTGAGTTCAGTTCAGGCTGAACCCTCTTCCCTACTGCAATAGTATATTACTGATTAAATCTGTCCTTGCTGCTTTGTTTATCTGACAGTACTCGAAGGAAGGCTTGCTGCTACACCCAGGCTAATAGCTTGGGCTCCGGGCTCTCTGCACACCTTGACCTGCTAGTCTGCGCTCACGCTTCCTGATTCAAATCCTCAGCCTTGAACTTGGCTCTGTGCTGTCTGCTTCATGCCTGCCCTCTTTGTCCTCTAGGATGAAGTTTTCTGGTCGTTTCACCAGGCTCCCACCTTGCACACTCGTGAATACTCCACTTCTGCCTACACTGCCTGCCTCTATCTCTGAGCCGCTTAGTTGCCGGGCCAACCTCCCAGCCTTCTCTACCCCAGTCTCAGAGCCACCATCCCACCTGCTACATGTTGCAGTGGAGGCTGATCTTGATATTTAGCAACGGCCCAGGCATTAAGTACAGGGAATAGTTCGTGAGGCCTGCGCCACCAACGTTTTCCCAGCTCGCTTAGAGAGTTAAAACCAGGTTCCGATACAGAAGATCGCTTTATAAAATGGCTAAGGAATCACTGATCAGTACTGCATGAGAGACGATTTGGGCCAAATTGTAAAAACAAGCGGAGCTGCTAAGTTACGTGTGCATCTCTTTGCTGACTGCTGCTCCCGTTCTCCGGGGTCTCCTTTCCTCACACCCTAGAGCTGGGCTCCCTGTCACTCATTCACCTCATTCTTTGCTCCAGGCCTCCCAGGGCACGTTGTCTTGGGCGACCTGGTTTAGGACTCCCTCAGAGTCGTAGGCTCTCCAGCTTTTATTCTAGGCAAACCAGGAGATCAGAGAAAAAACGCATCCCCATGTCTCTCTGCAGTCCTGTTTGGAGGCTTCCTCCCCACTGAGAATTTACAAAGGTCTCCCTTTGAGGTGTGGAAGCCGTGTCACATCTGTGCCAATCCTCACTCCACGGACGCACAGAGTTGACGTAGAAGTCCCGGCTGGCTGGGAGGGCCCCTCCTCTGGTGCTAAATCAGAGAGCAGACAGGAACCCATGAAGAGGCTTCCCTCCACTTAAACTCTGTTACAAGAGAGTGATGCTCTATCCCTGTTCCTTTTTGCAGGCCACCTGGCTTTGTATCACCACAGTGATGAAACACACCAAACCCTGATGAGCAATTTCCCTCAGAATCCACTGGACTCCCACCCGACCCGCACAAAGATTTTTTTTCCCAGAATGTTTTGGGAAAAAAACCCCCAACCAGTTGAGTGAAAAAGCAAATAAGCTGGGTTTCCCTCATGCCCAATTGCAGAAACCGACAGGCGGTACAGGAGAATTGGATTACAGAGGTTAGCCTGATACATTTCTCCAATTTCAGGGTGAGTCTCTTTACTGAGCCCAGCCCCGCTCCAGCCTCCTGGGTGGACTCAGAGCCTTCCAGGAGTGGGAATCCCATTTCTCCTCCTCGCGTGGCGGGTGGCCGGGAGAGACCGAGGACCGCTGATCCAGAGAGCCCTGGGGACTTACCCTCTGCTCCTGTGTGGCCACGAAAGTCTGGAACCCTGGTGCCACCCCAAAGCCTAGCTCTTGGATGAAAGGCGGCTCAGACTGACTGTGGATCTGAACCTTCACGCCTGCTTCAAACGTCGTTTCCTCTGAAAGAACAAAGATGGACAGAGCCATGGGTCAATGATAACAGATGCTCACGGAGTCCTGGGACTGAAAAGCTCAAAAGGATGCTGGAAAGGCCCCACGGTAGGCAGAATCATGGCCCCCCAGAGATGTGCACATCCTCGTCCCTGGAAACTGTGGCTGTGTTACCTTACATTGGTGAAAGGGATGCTGCAGATGTAACTAAGGATTTTGAGGTGGGGAGATTGTCCTTGGTCATCCAGGTGGCCCAATGTGATCACAAGGGTCCTTACAAGAGGGAAGCGGGAGGATCAGAGTCAGAGAGATGTGGAAAAATCTATGCTGCTGGCTTTGAAGATGGAGGAAGGATCCGTAAGCCCAGGGATGCAGGCAGCTTCCAGAAGCTAGAAAACGCAAGGGAATGGATTTCCCCTAGAGCCTCTAGAAGGAATGCAGCCCTGCTGACACCTTAAAATACATTTTTGACTTCTGGCTTCCAGAGCTGTAAGATAATAAATTCATGTTGTTTGATGCCTCTAAGGTTGTGGCAATCTGTTAGAGTAGCGATCAGAAACGAATTCAGGTCAGCTAGGCCAACCAACTTTTTGCTTCAATCTGCAGAACTATAGAATGGGATTATGAAGTGAGTTAAGCACCTATTCTCTTTATTTACTAACTTCTCTACTGGGCCATGAGCTGAGGCGAGGAGATCAGGAGAAGGAAAACACGATGATACAGCAGTTGAAATAAAAATACGGGGCCACGGGGCTTCCCTGGTGGCGCAGTGGTTGAGAGTCCGCCTGCCGATGCAGGGGACACGGGTTCGTGCCCCGATCCGGGAAGATCCCACATGCCGTGAAGCGGCTGGGCCCGTGAGCCATGGCCGCTGAGCCTGCACCTCCGCAACGGGAGAGGCCACAGCAGTGAGAGGCCCGCGTACCGCAAAAACAAAAAAACACAAAAACAAAAAACCACGGGGATTTCCTGTAAGCCCCTTGGAGCTGCAGGAGATGGGAAACTAGAAGAGAAGCTTCTCCCCTTTTGTTCTTTGGCAGGAGAAACGGCCCTCGGCCGTGAGCGGGGGAGGGACAGCAGAAAGGGATGGGATGGCAGAGCCTGGCTCATCCTATATGTTGGTGCTTATAATTGGTGGGAAGTGCACCTATGGGATCTATCAGCCTTTCCTGGGTCTCCTCTTATTCTTTGCAAACAGCTTGAAGCATGAGTTTTCCAAAATGCAAATCTTAGTCACTTATAAGGAGCCCAATCTCCTTCACCTGCTCCCGTTCCAGCCTTGCTCTGGGCAGCCCTCTGCTTCGTGGCACTATGTGTTCCAACCCACCAGGGCCGCCAGATTGGTTGTTACTGATCCCTGCTCTACACGGAGCACATGCATCTCCTTCTGCCTGGAATGTATTTATTTATTTATTTATTTTTGCGGTACGCGGGCCTCTCACTATCGCGGCCTCTCCTGTTGCGGAGCACAGGCTCTGGACGCGCAGGCTCAGCGGCCATGGCTCAGGGGCCCAGCCGCTCTGCGGCACGTGGGATCTTCCCGGACCGGGGCACGAACCCGTGTCCCCGGCATCGGCAGGTGGACTCTCAACCACTGCGCCACCAGGGAAGCCCCTGGAATGTCTTTTGCTTGGTCCACCTGACCATCTCCCTTCTCATCACTGAAGATTCAGCCCCCAGCCCCAGCCCAGAGCCACTCCTTCTCCTGCCTGGTTGTGTCTCACATACGCCTGGTGAAGCCTCTGCCACACCGCGTCATAATCCTTTATCTCACTGTCTTCTCCACAAGGCTGAGCATCGTTGAGGCCAAGTTCAGGGCTTTCTCTCTGGATCTCAAAGGCCCTGCACACGGCTGGGCATCTTGCAGGCACCCAGGGAACGCCTGTTGCATGAACGAGTGAGAGACTTGTGACTCCAACCTTTACTTGCTTATTCATGGGCAAGGCCAACCTAGTAACCACATCAAGGAGTATTCTGAAACTAGAGAATAGGGAGAGGATGGGTAAATGCAGAAATCAGGGAGGATAAGAGGGGATGGAGGTCAGAGGTCAAGGAGGGGGAGTGTGTCAGCCCCAGGGCCATAGCGTAGGGAGAGCCTGGGGAAACGCTCCAAAGCTGGCACAGAAGAGAAAGGCGAGGAGGGAAGGGCCGGAGCCAGGCAGTGAATGCGCAGGACCTAGGGCAGCCTGGGAGCCTGTGACCGAGGCAGGGCGAGGCGTCGAGAGCTGGGTGAGAATTCCAAGGTCGGGGGCACAGGCCAAGGTGGAGGAGGCAGACAGGGACCAGAGGAAGAATAGGCAGGGCTCTCACAATCTAGACCAGGAATCCAGTGGCTGAAGTGAGGTTCAGGCAAAAGAGAGCCTCAGCCAGGAATCCTTTCATACACATCTCCGTGGAGCAGTAGAGAATCCCGTGAAACCCACGAACACCTCCCCCTTTCCTCCAGCAGGGTCAAGTCTTCCGCCATCTCTTTACCCAGATGGCTCCGTGCAAACTCTTGCCCCTACATCCCTGCGTGCCTGTGGATTTGTGTCCATCTCTCCCGTGGATGGCGGATGCCTCAGGAGAGGAGAGTGCTTCTTGCTCAGTCCGGTGCCCATTGCCCAGCCTGGGGCTTGGCCCACGGGTACATCAGGGAGGGGGCCGAGGGAGAGGGAGGATGGGGGAGATGAAGAAGGCTGAGTGGCCAGCTTTCAGTGGCTGTGTGTTCTAAGGTCTGCCCAAGAGAGGGGTTGAGGAGAGGCCAAGGAGCCCAAAGGACAGGCTTTGATGGGGGAGAAGTGAACACACAGTGATACTGGGATACAGGGATGTCCGTGCTTGGATGAATGAATTCAGTAAGCTGTAGCGGGTGGGAGAGGAGAGATGCCAAAACGTGTTTTCCAGAGCTAGTGAAGCTGTGTGCCTGCGATATAAGGGAGCTTAAGAAACCTTAGAGCCAGTAGGACAGGTACCTGCAGGTACCTGTGGTTACAGGTACCTGTGGTTACAGGGAGAAATGAGAAACGAGGCCTTGGTGTCAGAAGTGCTGTGAGTAATGGGCAAAGAGGACAGCCAGGCATGCCTGTGTCAGTGAGAGCCGCCCAAGGCTACTCAGACTGGGTTGGGGTTCAGATGGGGAGTTTATTCAAGAAGCAGCAGGGGCTGGAGCAGAGTAAATTCCTAAAGTATTCTCAGATCATTACAAACATGGATGGGCATGCAAGCTGATGGGCAGAGTCAGAAGAGACACGAGTAAGGTTTCTGCCCTCTTCAGGATAATGCTGTCTAGAGGAACCTTCTACCAAGATGAAATGTTCTAGAATCCTTGCTATCCAACCTGGTACTCTCAGCCACATGAAATGTGACTCTTGCAGGTGAGGAACTGAATTTAGAATTTAATTAATTAATGCCCCCCAACTTTACTGATGCATAATTGACAAATAAAATTGTATGGTATTTAAAGTGCACAGTGGGATGATTTGATGTAGGTATACATTGTGAAAGGATTCTCCCTATCAGGTTAATTCACATATCCATCACTTCATGTATTACCTTTCTGGCCTGCTTTATTTATCTATTTTTTATCCAATTGAATTTTAATTAATTAAACTTAAAATTAAGTAGCCACATGTGGCTGGTGACCCCCTTACTGGGCAGTGCAGTCGTAGAATGTCACCTGTGAGCAGATCCCAGCCCTCTCGGAGCAGTAGGGGTAACAAGGGCTTGAGCACCCCACTTTCCTATGCAGGTGCCCCTGTGGGGTCTCTTGTCCAGAAGCAGGAGATCTGGGTGGGGGTCTGAGCAGTAGAGCTCTGCCTATTTGTAGTCATGATTGTAGTCCCAGATCCTCCCTGACCCTGCTTCTCCCAAAGCACCACTTATCCTCTCATCTCCAGGTAGTTCCTCTTCCTTCACAGAACTGCCCTCAGCTCCCCTTTATGGAGTAATTCTGCAGTTTGATAGTGAATAACAGCCTCCCTCCAGTCCCTGCCCTGTCCCCACCCTCGGCTCCTGCCTTTCCTGGACACGGCACACTATCAGTGCAAATACGAGGACACACTTTAAGAAATGAAGTGATCAAGCATAGGCCGTTAGAGCCAAAGGCTCCGCCCACGTACCTCCAACGGTCTCAGACTAGAACGCACGTTGACATCACATACGGAGCTCTGCGTGACCAGCCCCGGGATCCACTCCCTAGCAATTCTGATTCTGTCCCTCTGGGGTGAAGCCCAGGAAACTTGCAGGCCCAGGGATTCTGATACAAATTATCTGAGGCCAAACACATTTGGGCAGCAGTGATCTAGTCCAGAGAGGGGAATTGACTTGCCCAAGGTCACACAGCAAGTCAAGAGCAGAGCAGGGGCCAAGAGCCAGGTCTTCTGACTTGCAATTCGTCACTCTTCCTCCCCAACTAGGGGTGTGGTTTATTTCACGTGAGCAGATGTCCTGGTTCATAGCCCTGGGGTTCTGAGTGGATGCTGGAGAAAGGGAATATTTCTTTCATTGTCATATCCCCTAAAGCCCCTAGCATGGTGCCTGGAACAGAGCAGAGCTCAATAACTACTTGTTGAATGAAACAAATTGAGTGAGGGAGTGTCCTCTGCTGAGCTGACTGTTCCCCGCCCTTTGACCAGCTGTGAGTCTGCCAGGGTCTGGCTGGACCCTAGGAAACACCAGCACCACATGTCACCCAGTGACGGGCTTGCTCCCATGTTGCACAAGGCAGAAGGTCTCATTCACCGACATGCAGCTGGGCTGCACAGAAAACAGCAGCAACAGCAGCAACAATAACAATAACAAGAACTCGGACCACCCATACAATGTTTGGGTTCAAACTGAAAATGTGGGGCACCTCGTTAAAAATGTATTGAGAAACTCAAGACAGCAGTGGTAGAGGATTAAACCAAGAGTGTGACCCTCCTGAGCCTGTGTGACTGCAGTGGTCACACAACCGGGAAGCCAGCCCCGATGATAACCCCCGTTGGTGCTGGACAGAATTGTTCACATCTTCCTATTCCTCTCACCA